AATGCCCTTCATGGCAGAGAGAGAAAGAAATTCAGCGATTGAAGACTATTAATAATATATCCTACCCGGAGGCACGTCGTATGGTCACCTTAAATACACCAGTGAAACAAAAGACATTCGCTGCTGCTCTGAAATCCACAAAGACATGTGGAGTTCAGACAGACATTTCTGTTTCACCCGATGAATCTCTGACTCGCCATGAAAAATGTCTGCTGATACCATCTACCAAAGCAACAGAAAAAGAGAATAACAAAGCAAAACCACTCATACCTAAAACAGGGGTAACAACTAGGAATGTGGGTTCCAAAAAAGCCAGTAAGAACCCACTTAATAAACAAAGAATAAAAGCAGCCCTGTCTAAAACTAAAAAATCAGAGACTCAGTCTATGAGCGAGTTCTCTGACTTCTCTGATGAAGAGAATAATAAGGGGGTGACACCACCAACATCACCTCCAAAAGAAAAACCCCCTGTGAAATTAAAGAGGGACAACCTTGCTAAAAATGCTGCCTCAAACACATAATGGATTATAAAATAATCCAATGGAACTGTCGTGGTTTCCGCAACAACTTCTCTGACATTAAACACTTGACGTCATCTACCTCATCTCTCTGTGTGGCACTCCAGGAGACTCATCTAAAACCTGGAGAAAATATTTCTTTAAAAGGATTCAATCTTTACCGCAAGGATGATGATAGCCACAACCGTGCCAGTGGAGGTGTGGCTATTGTAGTTTCAAATCACATCCCATCCTTGCCGGTACAAATCACCACTAATTTGCAAGCCGTGGCAGCTAGAATATCTATTGGAGTAACTGTCACAGTTTGTTCTATATACTTGCCACCAGATGTCAGAGTGAATGAGAATGAATTGGATACTTTGGTTGAACAGCTACCAACACCATTTCTTTTACTGGGTGACTTCAATGGTCACAATCCTATGTGGGGCAGTCCTGACATCAATCGTCGAGGCAGAGCCATCGAGAGATTTATAGGTAATCACCAACTGTACCTATTTAATACTGGAGAAGTGACATACTTCCATGCCCCATCAAGAACGTTCACTGCCATTGATCTATCATTAGCAACTCCGAATCTGTTTTCAGCATTTACATGGGAGGTTGGATCTAATCCACTCTCTAGTGACCACTTCCCAATATTTCTAAAATATCGAGGCAGAGAAAGCTGTGAAACAGCCCGTCCACCACGCTGGAAACTGGAAACGGCAGATTGGCCTGCATTTTCCTCTTTGGCTAACATCACTGAGGAAATGGTCAATACTGCTGATATCAATGATGCAGTTGAAGTTGTCACTTCTACTATTATTCAGGCAGCGGAAAAAACAATGGGGAAAACATCAACTAGATATCCAAAGCATCCGAAACCATGGTGGAACCAGAATTGCGAGGCAGCATTTAAAGCACAAAAGAAAGCATGGGGGATTTTCAGAAGATACCCCACTGCTAGAAATTTGATTGCTTTTAAAAAAGCAAAGGCAAATGCCAGAAGAATAAGAAGGCAAAGCCAAAGGGATTCTTGGAGGAAGTATGTTTCTAGCATAACATCTTCCACTAGCTCAAAAGCAGTCTGGGATAAAATCCACAAAATTAATGGGAAATATGCTTCTCACTCTCTGTCCATGCTGGAAAATAATGGCACAATAATAAGCGATATACAGGGTATTGCTGATACGTTGGGTGAAACGTTTTCTACTTCATCCAGCAATATTATGTATTCAAAGGATTTCCAAGCTTACAAAGTGCAAAAGGAAAAGCAACATTTAAACTTCCACTCCTCATCTAATGAGGAATATAATGTGCCATTCACTAGAATCGAATTACAAACTGTGATTTCTCGTGCAAAAAATAGTGCTGTAGGCCCGGATAAAATCCACTACAGCATGATTAAAAATCTTTCGAACAATTCTCTTTGTAATCTCCTGCATCTGTTTAACAGAATATGGACAGAAAATACTTTTCCTGACTCTTGGAGACTATCAATTATTATCCCTATTCCAAAACTTGGTAAAGACCACAAGAATCCCTCTAATTATAGACCAATCTCTCTGACAAGTTGCCTGTGTAAACTCTTTGAGAGGATGGTAAACAGACGACTGATGTTCCTCCTAGAGGAAAAGAACTATTTTTCACCACATCAGAGTGGATTTCGTAGGAACAGAAGTACCACGGACAATTTAGTAAAACTTGAAACATCTATACGCGAAGCGTTTGTTAGACGACAGCACTTAGTGTCTGTTTTCTTTGATATAGAAAAAGCCTACGATCGCTGCTGGCGTTACGGAATACTTCGTGATTTACATGAATTCGGATTGCGGGGTAATTTGCCAGTTTTTATAAAAAACTTTCTGCAGAATCGAAGATTCCAAGTTAGGATGGGCAACACACTATCTAGGTCTTTCGTCCAAGAAGAAGGTGTTCCTCAAGGATGTATTTTGAGTGTGACTCTGTTCCTAATTAAAATTAATAGCATAGCTAACTGCCTTCCGCCCAGTGTGAAACACTCTTTGTATGTGGATGACTTTCAGATCTCCTGCCAGTCTAGCAACATGAGTTTCATTGAGAGACAACTGCAAACCTCCCTAAATCGCATAGAAAATTGGTCCAAGATCAATGGTTTTAGTTTCAACATAGAGAAGACATCGTGCATCCACTTTTGCCGAAGGCGTGGTTTGCACCTGGATCCCGAAATGTATTTAAATGGGGTTAAAATTCCAATTGTGAATGAGACTAAGTTTTTGGGTGTTTGTTTTGACAAAAAACTGACATTCTTGCCACACTTGCGCAACCTGAAGAGTAGATGTTTAAAATCTCTAAACCTTTTAAAGGTATTATGCTGCTCATCCTGGGGAGCAGACAAAGTTTCTATGCTCAGGATTTATAGGGCCCTCGTTCGCTCTAAGCTGGACTACGGATGCATTGTTTATGGGTCTGCGCGAGAATCTACTCTTCGGATACTGGATCCAATTCACCATCAAGCTTTGCGTTTGTGCACTGGTGCATTTCGAACTTCCCCTGTACAAAGTTTGTATGTGGATGCTTATGAGCCTCCACTATGTCTTAGGAGAGAACAGTTGTCTCTTTCTTATTATATAAAACAGAAATCTTATACTAAACCTTCAGTTGATTGTACAGTATCAGATACTCAGTTGAAAAGGTTATTTGAAGCTCGCCCAAGTAGTGTCCCTACATTCAGCATAAGAATGGAGAATGTAAGCAGCGCGATTGACCTTAACACAAGCAACATTTCACAGGTTGAAGTTAATAGTATTCAACCTTGGTCAACCCCTGAGATAAATGTTGACTTTAGCTTAAAGCAGTTTCCTAAGGAATCCACTCCAGACTATATCTACATACAGCACTTTGCAGAAATTCAACACCAAGACAAGAATTTAATTCCTATTTATACTGACGGTTCTAAATCGGATGAATATGTTGGCTCAGCCTTAGTTTGCCAGGATGAAATCTTGGCAGAACAAATTGAATTGAATTCATCTATCTTTACTGCAGAGCTGCACGCTATCTATCTAGCTTTAAAGTATGTAATCAGAAAAGGTCATCGTTGTTGCGTTATTTACACTGACTCAGTTAGTTCCCTTCAGGCTTTAATTTCATGTGAACCTAGTTCTCACTCCATAGTGATTAAAATTCGAAAACTGTTTTGCCATCTTCTTGCAAGGAATTTCTTTATAAAATTTTGCTGGGTCCCAGGCCATGTAGGTATAAGAGGAAATGAAGAAGCTGATGCAGCTGCAAAGTCAGCTAGTCCTTCACAGCATACAATGTGTATTGAAGGAGGCGATTTGAAGCTAGTCATTAAGAAACGACTAGTGGCAAGATGGCAAAATATGTGGAATGCACAAATCCACAATAAACTACATGAGATCAAACCTATGATAGAAAATTGGACACATAAGAAACCTTACGACAGGAGATCTGAGGTTATTTTTACTCGTCTGAGGATTGGACATACTCGGTTGACTCATCAATACCTTTTGAAGGATGAAGAGCAACTAGTATGCCAGTATTGCAACTGCTCTCTAAGTGTTAAACACATACTGCTCAACTGCTCTGCCTTTGAGATCAGTCGTAGACAGCATTTTGGAAATGCAAGTTTTAAGGAGATTCTGGGCCAGAGACCAAATCATTATAATGTATTGGAGTTTTTAAAAGTCATTAATTTGTATAAAGAAATTTAATTAATTATTTATTTATATATTTATTTTATTTTTGCATGTTGTTGTCTGTTTGTACTTAATATGTGTATATTTATTTTCGTTGTTGTTGTTTATTTATTTAGTTATTACTGTAATATGTTAGTTATATATCATGTTTAAAATTTCTTAACCATTTGCTTTGGCGCAGCATAGCGTATACGGCTCTTGTGCCAATAAACAAAAACCAACCAACCAACCAGTTATGATATTACTTTCATAAATCTCAGAAACTTAATGTCTTCGATAGATTTTCAACAATGCTTACAAAGTTTTTTATTTAGGCCATACTCCTAGATTTCTTGATATTTGTTTTATACTCTTTGATGGCTTTTATATAATTTTTTTTAAGTTTGCCTTTTAATTCCTTAAGTACATTTCTTCCAGCTGGAATGTAATTTGGAAAATCATTATGTTTTTTAATATCTAAAAAAACACTTCATTTTAATTGAAAAACAAATATTGTTTTAATTTTTGTGAATGCACTAAAGTTGGTTCCTAAATGGCACCTTTTCCTTCGGATAGCTAACTTTACAGGGCCTGGAAAGGTGGCTTTTCTGCATGACTTACCATCGCGCTGGAAAGCTGCCATTCGTCGGTTAGCATTGGTTAGCATTTAAAAATAATTTAAGAAATGAAACATGACACATATCACCATTGGATTTGAATTGTTAAACTGTTCTGTATATATGTTTTCCTACTTATTTTATACATCTAATCATACCATTTGTGGTGGCGCAGTATAGCCTGCCTGGCTTTTGTGCCAATAAAAATCAACCAACCAACCAACCAACCTCTAGTGAACACTTCCCAATATTTCTAAAATACCAAGGCAGAGAAAGCTGTGAAACAGCTTGTCCACCACGCTGGAAACTTGGAACAGCAGATTGGTCCACATTCTCCTCTTTGGCTAACATCACTGAGGAAATGGTCAATACTGCAGACATCAATGATGCAGTTGAGGTTGTCACTTCCAGTATCATTCAGGCAGCGGAAAAAACAATGGGGAAAACATCAACTAGATATCCAAAACATTTTAAACCATGGTGGAATCAGAATTGCGAGGCAGCATTTAGAGCACAAAAGAAAGCATGGGGGATTTTTAGAAGATACCCCAGTGCTGAAAATTTGATAGCTTTCCAAAAAGCAAAGGCAAATGCCAGAAAAATCAGAAGGCAAAGCCAAAGGGATTTTTGGAAGAAGTATGCTTCTAGCATAACATCTTCCACTAGCTCAAAAGCAGTCTGGGATAAAATCCACAAAATTAATGGGAAATATGCTTCTCATTCTCTGTCCATGCTGGAAAATAATGGCACAGTGATCAGTGATATACAGTGTATCGCTGATACATTGGGTGAAACTGTTTCCTTGTCATCCAGCAACATAATGTATTCAAGGGATTTCCAGGCTTACAAAGTGCAAAAGGAAAAGCAACATTTAAACTTTTACTGCTCATCTGATGAGGAATATAATGTGCCATTTACTAGAATCAAATTACAAACAGTGATTTCTCGCTCTGGGAATAGTGCTGTAGGCCCGGATAAAATCCACTACAGCATGATTGAAAAATTTTCGAACAATTCTCTTTCTAATCTCCTGCATCTGTTTAACAGAATATGGACAGAACGTACTTTTCCCAACTTTTGGAGGCTATCAATTATTATTCGTATTCCAAAACCCGGTAAAGATTACAAGAATCCCTTTAATTACAGATTAATCTTTTTGACAAGTTGCCTTTGTAAACTTTTTGATAGGATGGTAAACAGACGCCTGATGTTTCTCCTAGAGGAAAAGAACTACTTTTCACCACATCAGAGTGGATTTCGTAGGAACAGAAGTACCACGGATAATCTAGTAAAACTTGAAACATCCATACGCGAAGCGTTTGTTAGACGACAACACTTAGTATCTGTATTCTTTGATATAGAGAAGGCCTATGATCGCTGCTGGCCTTACGGAATACTTCGTGATTTACATGAATTTAGATTGCGGGGTAACTTGCCAGTTTTTATAAAAAATTTTTTGCAGAATTGAAGATTTCAAGATAGGATGGGCAACACTTTATCTAGGTCTTTTGTCCAAGAAGAAGGTGTTTTTAAAGGATGTATTTTGAGTGTGACTCTGTTCCTAATTAAAATTAATAGCATAGCTAACTGCCTTTCTCCCAGTGTGAAACACTCTCTGTATGTGGATGACTTTCAGATCTCCTACCAGTCTAGCAACATGAGTTTTATCGAGATACAACTGCAAACCTCCCTAAATCGCATAGACCATTGGTCTTGGACCAATGGTCTATGCGTTTTAGTTTCAACGTAAAGAAGACCTTTCGTGCATTCACTTTTGCCGAAGGCGTGGGTTGCACCTGGACCCCGAAATGTATTTAAATGGGGTTAAAATCCCAATGGTGAATGAGGCTAAGTTTTTAGGTGTTTGGTTTGATCAAAAACTGACATTTTTTCCACACTTGCGCAACTTGAAGAGTAGATGTTTAAAATCTCTAAACTTTTTAAAGGTATTATGCTGCTCATCTTGGGGAGCAGACAAAGTTTCTATGCTCAGGATTTATAGGGCCCTTGTCCGCTCTAAGCTGTACTATGGTTGTATTGTTTATGGCTCTGCGCGAGAATCTACTCTTCGGATGCTGGATTTAATCCACCATCAAGCACTGCATTTGTGCACTGGTGCTTTTCGAACTTCTTTTGTACAAAGTTTGTACGTGGATGCTTATGAGTCTCTACTATTTCTCAGGAGAGAACAGTTGTTTCTTTTTTATGACATTAAGCAGAAATCTTAAGCTAAACCATCAGTTGACTGTACAATATCAGATATGCAACTGATAACATTATTTGTAGCTCGCCCAAGCTGTGTCCCTACATTCAACATAAGAATGGAGAATGCAAGCAGCACGATTTACCTGAATAGAAGCAACATTTCACAGGCTCAGGATGATTGTATACCACTTTGGTCAACTTGAGATAAATGTTGACTTTTGCTTAAAGCAGTTTCCTAAGGAATTCACTTCAGACTATATCTACATACAGCACTTTGCAGAAATTCAATACCAAGACAAGAATTTAATTCCTATTTATACTGACGGTTCTAAATCGGACGAATATGTTGGCTCAGCTTTTGTTTGCCAGGATGAAATCGTTGCAGAACAGTTTGAATCAAATTAATCTATCTTTATTGCAGAGCTGCAGGCTATTTATCTAGCTTTAAAGTATGTATTCAGAAAAGGTAATCGTTGTTGCATGATTTACACTGACTCAGTTAGTTTCCTCCAGGCTTTGATTTCATGTGAACCTAGTTCTTACTCCATAGTGATTAAAATTCGTAAATTGTTTTGTTATCTTCTTGCAATGAATTTCTCTATAAAATTTTGTTGGGTCCCAGGCCATGTAGGTATAAGAGGAAATGAAGTAGCTGATGCAGCTGCAAAGTCAGCTAGTCCTTCACAGCATACAATGCATATTGAAGGAGGCGATTTGAAGCTACTCGTTAAGAAACGACTAGTGGCGAGATGGCAAAATATGTGGAATGCACAAGTTTACAATAAAATACATGNTTTCTTCAACATTATGATAGCATAACATATTTTTAGAAAATACTAATATCTCAATAAAGAAAACTAAAGAAGATAGTTAAAATACAAGTTAGGTTTCTGATTAATCATTCATTTATGACAAGTAAAAAAATTATTATTAAAAGTAATTTTAAAGAAAACTTCCATGATTATCATTGCTCATGAATTAGTAAGATACAAAGAAGTAATTTAAAAGTGAATTTATTACACAACATAGTGTTTAAGAATCAAAGAAGAGTCACAACACTGTTTCAGATTATCAAAGTAATTTAATTAAAGCACATTTTAGAGTGCTTTGCTAACACAGTTCTTTTCAGTTACATTCATGTTTATTATTTTTTGGTATTTGTCTTACTCTTAAGGGAGATTTAAGGTTTGTAATACAATACTATTGCATAATTTATATTTATTTTATTTTTGCATGTTGTTGTCTGTTTGTACTTAATATGTGTATATTTATTTTCGTTGTTGTTGTTTATTTATTTAGTTATTACTGTAATATGTTAGTTATATATCATGTTTAAAATTTCTTAACCATTTGCTTTGGCGCAGCATAGCGTATACGGCTCTTGTGCCAATAAACAAAAACCAACCAACCAACCAGTTATGATATTACTTTCATAAATCTCAGAAACTTAATGTCTTCGATAGATTTTCAACAATGCTTACAAAGTTTTTTATTTAGGCCATACTCCTAGATTTCTTGATATTTGTTTTATACTCTTTGATGGCTTTTATATAATTTTTTTTAAGTTTGCCTTTTAATTCCTTAAGTACATTTCTTCCAGCTGGAATGTAATTTGGAAAATCATTATGTTTTTTAATATCTAAAAAAACACTTCATTTTAATTGAAAAACAAATATTGTTTTAATTTTTGTGAATGCACTAAAGTTGGTTCCTAAATGGCACCTTTTCCTTCGGATAGCTAACTTTACAGGGCCTGGAAAGGTGGCTTTTCTGCATGACTTACCATCGCGCTGGAAAGCTGCCATTCGTCGGTTAGCATTGGTTAGCATTTAAAAATAATTTAAGAAATGAAACATGACACAACTTAAAATGAAAATAAATTTAATGGCATAAAAGTAAATTTATAAGTAACATAAATGAAAAATAATAAAATATTTACAAATATACATAATATACAGTTGTCCCTTGATAGTCCGACGTTTTGTAATTCGACATGCTCAGTAGTCCAACGCACCTCCCGTCAAGGTCATCGTAGTCCTGGTCCCCATTACGTGTCTGCTTGCACAGAAGCATGTCACTATACATACTGTATGTACTGTACTGTACATTTATTGGCTTTCATATTTTTTTTAATAAACATATTTCATTCAATTGAAATGGGTGTTTTATTTCCATATTAACCTCGGCAGCATTTTACTTATAAAACGTAAGAATATTGTAGGCTACTGCTAGGAAAACAATGACAAATATGTTATCACTTTCGGTAATCCGGACACTTTCAGTAATCCGACACCCCTTTGGTCTTATACCTATCAGATTATCAAGGGACAACTGTACCATACTTTACATATTGTATAGTACATAGCTATAATCACAAAAAAAAATAAAAAATATCAAAATAAAGAGATAAAAATATAAAAAAGTATAATGATAAAAAGAGAATACAAATCAGAATATAAAATAAGCAATCTATACCAATACAAATTACAGTTAAAACCAAAATAATATTAAAAATCAGTGGTACAGTTAAATCTGAAATAATATTAAAAATTTTTTTTGTATGGTAAATCTTGAAACAAGGGGCTGGACACAAGGCCACCTGAAATTGTTCACATTGGTACCTTGTTTAGGGTCTAATTTTTTTCCTTGTTGTTTTTACAACAGACAGCACAACATCTAGTGGGAGCTACTTTTTTGTCGGTCGGTGGAATGAAGTCCGGGAAATGTTTTTTAGTAAGTTTTAACGGACCTGCAGTTCTCGTCCGACCATGTTTACTGGTCATCGTTACGGTGTGGTATGGTTATCAGGCTTCTATCAGAGTCAATCGAAATAACACGTTTGGTTTCTGTCCATCATTTTTTTGATACAACACATAGGCATTATATAGTGAAATGTCTAATAATTGAAAGAACAGTTTTTTGTAATACTTCTTTTTTTTTCTTTCCACAGTATAATCATGGAGATGCTGATCTAAAAGGTCAACACCTCCCATAGTGGTGATTTGAAGCTAGTTGTTAAAAAGCAACTAGCAGAGAGATGGCAAAATATGTGGAATGCCCAAATCCACAATAAACTACACGAGATCAAACTGATGATAGAAAATTGGACACGTAATAAACAGTATGGCAGGAGATCTGAAGTTATTCTTAGTCATTTGAGAATTGGGCATCCTCGGTTGACTCACCAATACCTTTTGAAGGGTGAAGACCAGCCAAATCCAGAAGGGTGAAGACCAGAATCTTCCAAAGTTTTGGATTATCATGTGTTTTGGGATTAAAATTGCTATTGTCTGCAAAATGTCATTTTTTTTTATTTCCTCATATCTTGTTCTTCTCATTAGTTTACCGAAAATCGGGGTCTTTAAAAGTTCATTTTTGGACCAGTACATTTTCTCACTGGGTTTGTATAACAGTCCTTGCAATATACAAATCGTTAGAAATATATATATTTCTTCGACTGTCACTGGCTCCCAGTGATCCCTTGATGACCGTGCCTGTTGCATTGAGTAGTTGTTCGTTTCGGTTACAATCATATTGATTAATTCCAAGTCAAAAAATAATAAAAAGAACTTTAAAGGGTCAAAGTAATCTGTAAGGATGAAGTTACAAGTAAAGTAAAGTAAAGGGGATAGGAGGCATTACTCATAGGTATATCCTCGAAGGGGTTGAAAGAAGTGAGAAGAGTAGACATTAGTGAAAGTTAAGTGACAGGGGCCGAAAGGGGATGAAGGTAGTTGGAAGAGAAGTTTAGAGGAAGAGGGAGGTCGTGGGCCGCACCAAGAAATTTATT